TCCTGCCTCTGTCTCTTGAGTCCTGGGAAGACATCTCTATCACAGTAGGCTGATGATACAGGGTTCACATGTAGATTGTGTGATTACAAGTTCACCAAAATCAGTCAATTAAGTACTCTTTTAATGAAGGGGTGATTATGAGCAATGATTCATGGGATTGAATAAGTTTTAAACACAGCCAACAATTCCTGGATTTTTTTCATGTGACAGACACTAAACACTCCCTCCTTTAACCCTTGTCTTTGTCTCACAAAATTGGTCCTATTATTGTGCGTGTTTTACTGATGAGGAACGGGAAGACTGGGCCATCAAATCCTTAAGCTTACCCCACCATTGTACATGACCACTTTCCCTCTCAAAACTGTGTTTGTATTTGACTTGGAACTGGTTGTCAATGTGTAGGCCTACAGAGAACTGTCCTTTATGCGTATCCATTGACTGTAGACTTCCTAAGGGCGGGCTGGAGGTGATGAAGAAATTCATCGTTAGGCAATGTGATGGAAAGAACGGAAACAGCGTGGTCGAATGGAGATGAGGTGAGGCCTTGGCTTATCATACAGCTCACTATGGGAACTTGGAAAGGTCACTTTCATTTCCAACGCTCATGCCTCCATGGTTACATTTATAACATTGGATGGTAATTACCTTGCCTTAATGTTATTATATAAAGATGGATGAATGTGATATATATCCTTAACTTGGTGACTGACACAAGCCATTATACCGTCTCCTTCCACCCCTGGTCATTTTATTTTCCTACTTCTCCCTTCTCTTCATCTTCTTCTGTTCTATTTCATCCTCTCCTTTGGTCTTCATTTCTTCATTACTAGTATAACTTCCTAAATAGTGCTTTCATAGTATAAATAGAGTTGGGATAAGAAAAGACAGTGCAGGCCTCCTGTGACTGATGAAGCTGAGCATGTCTTAGTGGGGTGTCATTCACCTAGAAGCCTCATATCCTCTAACCCAGCACCACAGGGTCAACCTAAAAGATAGGCAGGAATTTGTACATTTTTTGGACTTTCTTTTGGTTAAAGAATATATTAAATGTAAATGAGATTTTGTCTTAGACTTTAATGTGGATTAAATTGGGTCTTATAAGATGTAATTTGCTTTTCTTTTACATTTTTACTTAAGTAAAAATAGTTAATCACACTACTGAAGTAATACTTGATTTTATAGTTAGGCTAACGTTGTGGGTTATGGGGCATATCTTAACATAATAAGCTTGGTTTTAAAGAGGGAGGCATAGCTTCCTTTGCCTTTCTTTTGGCTTTGTATGTTTGAAATAAAAATGCCCTCAGTGAATATAAGAACAAGAACTGATAAGTTTAAGAGTGTGTGAATGCCTGAGGCAGTAGCTCAGATAGGATCATGTGTAGACCCAAGTTTCTGTTCAGCCTGGTCCTGCATCTGATTAACCCCCAATAAACACACAAAGACTTATATTAATTTATAAATTGTTTGACTGATGGCTAGGGCTTCTTACTGGCTAGCTCTCCCTTAACTATTAACCCATATCTACAAATCTATATATTTCTATATTGCCTTCCCTTACCGGAGAAGGCTCCAGCATATTATTCCTTCAGCAACTACATGGTGTTTCTCTCTGGCAGCTACTCTCTCTCTCTCCTCTCTCCAGGATTCTCCTTGTCTCCTAGTCCCGCCTGTGCATCCTGCCTGGCTACTGTCCAATCAGTGTTTTACTCATCAATCAATAAAAGAAACATATATACAAAAGGACGTCTCCTCATCAATGTTATGAGGCAAGGTTGGAAGTTACCGGGAGCAGAAAACTCACTGTCCTGACTACATACATCATTTTTGGCAAGTTACTCGTTAAGAACACAACCTGTCTCCACTGGTCTGGGGATCCTCCTGGATGCTTTGAAGCAGAGGGTACCAAATTGTTGGTAATGCAAAGCAGAAACATATTTCACATTGCATGTTTTGGTCTCTTACTCTTTCTTTCAAACGGGAACCTCCTGCCAGGGTGTTTCAGGGAAGATTAATTAACTTATATCAGTAAAGGGCCTTTGATGATGGCTGCTAGGTATTCTCATCATGTAATTGCTATTTCACTCCTAACAACGTCTATAGAGTTACTAACTAGGCATTGTCAATGCATCTTGTACTTACTATTTTACCATTGTCTTGCAATTACCTAGGATCAGTACAAGTTCAAGAAACATCTATTGCTCATTTCATCGATTTAATTTTTGGAAGCCTTGGCATTAAAAAATACACTGCAAGTTGAATAACTAGCAAGGTAAATATGACTTAGAATGGTGAGACTGTCAACAATTACAGTTCTTTAGAGATGTTAACTGAGAACCGTACTGATGCACTTCATGAGAAAGTTCGTTATTGTACCCAAGTACTCGGAGGACTGTGGGCTGTGTTTTGTGTTTGCCTGTAAGATACAAATGGAAACTTTGAGTTTTCCTGACCAGTCTACAAACAAAACAGGAAAACAAGAGCTAAGACTGTATTTGGCTTGTCTCAGTGATCCCTCACCTCTTCTCTCTGTGTGCATATGGTATACCCATGTATGAATATGTGTGTGTGTGTTTGTGTGTGTTGAGAGAGAGAGAGAGAGAGAGTAACTTCATAGGTCAGTGTCTAGTGCCTTCTCTTGTTCTCCAGTTTTTGAGACAGAGTCTCTCTCTATACCTGGAACTCACTACACTGGTTACACTTGTTGGCCATTGAGCTCTTAGGATCTAATTGTCTCTGCTCCCTCTGAAATTCTGGGGGTAATTGATGTGCACCACTCCACTGGGCTTTTATGTGGATGCTGGCAAACCAAATTTAGGTCCTCATGTTTGCACAGAGAGCATATTACCCACTGATCCGTCTCTTCAGCCTGGAATTAGCTTTCTTGAAGGCAGAAAGGTGATTAACTTTGCCCCATTTTCTTACTCTAACTTAGATATTTGAATCATACATCATATGTTAAATGTCTGCTATACTGTCAGCTATTGCATTCTTTAATCTACAAGTCAGTGAGGCCTTTCATAAGTAACAAAATGAAGGTACATGGAGGTTAACTAAGATGTCTAGGCCCACGCAATTATTAATAAGGGAAGAAAAGACACAGACTCAAATTTGTCAGATTCAAGTCTGGGCCCTTTCCACTCTGTCTTTTCAACAAAATTTCTCTCACAAATGCCAGCTTGTGCCTTTTCTAAGAAGTATTTATGTATTTCAATGCATGTGACCTCTTGGAATTCGATACTACATTCTACAGCTTCTCCCAGTCTTAATTATAGTTTATCTGTGTTTCAGAGGTAGGGAGGACAGTGTGATATGATATATACTGAAAGCATGGGGCTTGGGGACACTAGATTGCAGTTCTGATTCTGCCTTGTCTTATCTGGGTCATGTTGAACAAAATTTAGTGCCTTTAAGGCTACATGTTGATATGAAGATGAAAACGGAGACTATATAGGAAGGCCATAGCACTTTAAGTGCCTGGAAAGCATACAATGCATTAAACAAGAACAGAACTAATGAATTACTAAATGACAGGAACTTTTCTTATATTAATGGTCATTTCTAAAAGTTCTTAATTGCTCAAGCTTGGTATGCCCTACCAGTTCAGTGAATAGTAAATGAAACATTGAATGTTAAGGTTTCAAGAAACTAAGCATATGTGGTTGAATCCTAGGCATGTTTCTCATAGAAAACCACACTAAATTATCTTGATTCTGATGGACTATTCAACTTTTCACATCCATTGCCACTAAAGACAGAAAGCATTGATATCAATAATCATAAAATGCAAAGTTCTATTATGGTGTAGCTTCCTTCATCCCATTACACGTGCAGAGACAGAGTGATGCAGGCAAAAGGCAAGGGGGTGGGAGAGGGGCTAGACTTGACACCACAAGATGCTTGTTAGAATTCCACCTCTACCTTGTCCAATTATCTGGGTGACACTCGATCTTTGAAGAAATATCCAATATAAATACTACCACAATGCTAGGGGAAAGACCGGAAATTGGACATGGTCTTGTAGATAGTTTACAGCATGGTTGGGTGGTTTCTCTGGAAAAGCTCCTGTCACACGATGAAAAGTGGCTTCAACAAGCCTAAGCTGGTCCAGCTGGCATTGATGGTACTGGGATGGTTCATTTAAGCTGTTTTTATTGATTAATGCAAGCCATGCCTTGAACTCCTGCGGATTGTCCCCAAGACAGGATGTAGGGCTTGGCAAGTCAGCAATAGAGGGTGATGACTGGGGATGTACTTAACTGCAAGATGACACATGTTTCTGAGTTTAGGAAGGAATCTGAGCTGAGATATCTATTATGATGGTGAAAGAAAATATGACTCCTTACATCTGCATCAGGATTTGCCCCCTGCAGAGGCTATTGTTTTTGTCTGAATTTTACTACTGGAAAAACAGAATCTCTGAGTTAATTAACTTTTCCAACTAACATGCTTTTGTTCTTTGAAGAGAGGGTTTCTCTGTGTGACTTTGGAGCCTGTCCTGGAACTTGCTTTGTAGATTAGGCTGGCCTTGAACTTATAGAGCTTTGCCTGTCTCTGCCTTCTGAGTGCTGAGGCTAAAGGCATGATGTACCACAATGCCTGGGTCTGTAGGGTTCATTTTAAGCCCTCAAAGCTAGTGCATATTTTCTAGGACTCTGCATTTGCCTGCTTGGATAGAAAATGAAAAGTCACCTAATGGCTTGCTGAAGTGTTGGATACCCAACAGCTTACTGAACCTCAGAAGATGGAAGAAACTTCTCTCCTTCTGTACATGCACACAAGCATGTGTGCATATGTACACACACACACACACACACACACACACACACACACACACAGTGTTTAGTCCTATTGTACTTGCTTCCCTACTCAGGACTTCAGAAGGGTAGTAGATAGCCACTTTCAAAGACTTCAGTATCAGGTAGTTTCTAAGAGCTAGGCTTCATTGCTGATAAACAACACCCCACAATGAAACTAAACTGTACCTTTTGAATATCGCTTACCAATTTCATTTTAATTCCACAAGTTTTGGTTGTAGAGCTATGTCTTTACCAGGGATCGAGAGTCAAGCGGAGCAGAGCACATGAGCTGTTGATGAGTTTGTGTCAGATCTTGGCTTCGGCATTGTTAAGACAGTTTGCAGGAGTCTAAAACCAGAGAATTATTTCAATAATGGTCAGCGTGTTCCACAAGCCCCAAATTTGAGTGCTGTGTTCCAAAAGAATAGGACAATAGAGAAACTGTAAGAAAAGCAAGGCATTACTAGTCCCACGGTGAGGATGTCACACATCTTGTAGGCAGCATTATTGGGCATCATTATCAGCTTGTACACTTCCAGGATGCCAGTGCTGGGTCACATGAGCTCATAGAGTCACAGTAGAGTGAATAGGAGTGTATCAATAGCAGGGCTACCCTTCCCTAATTGTCTGCTAGGGAAAATCAGAACCCACTTGAACTAGCTCCTTTCTCCTAGTTTTTTTCCCCAGCCTGGGTTTCTCAATTTCTGTGTTCCTCTTAGGTATAAACAATTCTCCCTAGCTGCTGCCTTCAGATTGAATGTGAGAGCACTGTTAGGGAGGATGCCGGTTAGTAAGAATAATCCTACCACTGAGCTTCCTGCTAGCTAGTGAACTGAGCTGTTCTTTCTTTGGCAAAATGGACTGAGAATGGTGGTTAGGACTATATCATAATTATCAGAAAATTTACATGCTTAAAAAAAAGGGAGACACGAAAGTGCTCCTGAGCCTGGCAGACACCTTGAGCTCAGAAAGAGGCAGGATTTACCTTATTTCCAGGAAGAGGTAGGCTCAAAGCTGTTGAAAGTGTTCTGAAATGAAGACGAGATACCTTCTCAAGTGACTCTACCAATTATGTTCACACCCCTTTGTAGTGAGAGATCTTACTAGGTACCTGTGGCACTGACCACGCCCATTTGGGATTTAGGCCTTAGGGAAGGACAGACGCTCACTGTCAGAGTTCTGGTGGTTCTCACAGGGCGGCTCAGATTGGATGCTCAGAGCACTGACCCTGGATTATCGGTTTCTCATGTAAGTGATTTCTCCCCAATAAAATTAACGTACCTCATCCCAATCCCGTGTATTGTGTATTCCGTGTATTGTAATTGTACAGCCACACCCCTTCTCATGTGTTTGGCACCTTTTACTGTTCTACTTTGTCCTGCTCCCTTTGCTCAAATCCAGTCCAGATCAAAGGCAGTTATTGGCTATTGCACATCTAAATGCCTATTTCCTTATATTGGTTGCATATTTCAACCTATTATATTAGAATAAAAATTTTTATTAGCTCCAGAGTATTCAGGCATCTCACTATGTAGTCAAATACCATTTTGTGAGGTCACAATGCAGTTTTGTGATGCCACAAGTATGTTGCACACGTAATAATTTCTTCCTATGATCTACATTTTTCACATGATTTAAAATCAAGGTGCTATGATGGTCTTAATGTGATTATTACTAGTAACTTGGAACTGTATCTTTCTGATGAAAATGTTTGGTCCATTGCTAAGTCTAAATTATTTACTCAGAGGTTTGAAAGGGTATTCCTCACTATATAGGGGGGAAAATGCCCTTCTCGGGTTTTCACCTCTGCAAGCATGCGATTCTGCTGTGATCAGAACTCTTTCCTCTTAGTTGGTGGTTCGGGGTCCAGACTTCAAATTCAACTCACATCCCTAGTAAGCATTTCTGTTTCAAGTTTTCACTTAAATGCTTTCTCTTTTATGTAGACTATGCTGTCCTTGAAGGGAGGCACTAAATTGTACTCACTTTTGTTTCAGAAAGCATATTATGGAATTATCCTGCAGTTGTAAATTGAATAGATATGTACATACATGTAGAAATAATTTTATCAGATGTCTATTTACATATGAAATATTTACAATTCATTGTCTTTTGGCAGGATGGTATTAAAATTTTGAGCCCAATCAGAATTATACTGTTATTTAAGAGATGAAATAGTGAAATTTTGTTGCAAACAAGTCAACATTTCTTCCTTTCTGCTCATTCTTTATCTACCATGGAAAAGCTCATGATCTGAACTTGGAAGACACTTTAAATCCAATTTGAAAGTTGTTGGCTACTCTCTTAATATTCCTGCCACTATTGGGTAAGCATACCTTGCAAGGCCAGGTTACTCTCACATGTATGATGTGCTTGGACCCCTGGGCTGGTCCAATGATGAGCTGTCTGTTTTCACAGAGTGAAATCTTAGAACGTGCCCTCTGACGAACGGGAAGAAAAACAGAGTTCAAAACGAACGCTACTGAACACAAATTAAATTGCCACTTATTATTTATTTAGCATGAACTGGTTAAGGTCCTGGACACATTACATATGTTATCTTAATCATAAATCAATACCACCATCATTTTTTTGTGCATTTGAAGGAAGAGAGGCCCATGGGATAGTTTAATTTCCTACTAAAGCCTAAGATGATTATTGTCTGAAGTCTGGGACCATGTTGGGATGCAGACATGGCAAGAGGAAGCTTTCCTGGAGTATGTCGTGTACATGTGATGCCCAGGTTCTCCCGGGCTTGGAGACGGTGCTTGGCGATGGCATCTGCAGGTAGACCCCTGATGAGAAAGCAATGAGGCTGGAGAAGCCAGAAAGGATCCAAAATTCAGTATTTGGTCAGTCCTCAGGAGCACCGGGTTTCCCTCGCTTAGATCAATCACTAGCTTGCGTATTTTCCTTCATAGCTCCCCAGCCCTTGCGATAGAGTCTGCGGCTCTATCAAAGGCTGCCTGGTCCAACTTTCTTTCTGTCCACTCACTGTGCGCCATGTTCCCAGTCCCGGGGCTGCCCACAGTGGAGACTTCATCACTTGTTCCTTTGTTTCAATAAGGGTTGTTGTTTCTGCTCAGAACTCTCCTCTCATCTCTCCCGAGTCACCTATTTAAATCCTTTCCATCTTTTATCTCCCAACCAAGCATTTCTGTCTCATGACAGACACTGTTGCTGTCCCGGGGCCAGCACATCCCCTGTGTATCACCAACACAGACCCGTGTTCCTCCCCTTCAGAGTACCTCAGTCGCCACGCAGCTACACACTCGCCATCTGACTGAACGGCTGATATTTGTCTTTCTCTTCAAACACTGAATTCCATAAGGACGGTATCAAGACCGCACATGGTATCCTGTCAAAGATATACACTGAGAAGCTTCGCCTCATCCTCTCTGAAGACCAGTCTCCACTCCGTGAGACGGGTCTACGATTCCTGTTAAAATCTATGTCGGTGTAACTCACTTTCAGGAAATTAACTCAGAACCACCCACTTTAAGATGGAGGAAGTGAGGAATGATACCAAGGTCTCTTATAATCTTCACTTGTCGGCAAGCCTAGAGCCTTAGAATGCACACCACTTTTCAGGTTTCTGACACCTTAAAGAGTTTTTGCAGTCCAGCTTGCCCATCTAACCAGGAGCTCAAGTCCATAGTAAATGTGCCTGTGATATTGGTGATGGGTTGGGCAGTAGAAAAAGTTTTGGCTTTAAAAGCACATTGCCTAATCTAAAGCCTAATTCCAACACAAATTAACTCTGATCATTTAGTGAGTTTCTTACCATGCATCTAACAGGAATTTTGCCATCTTTAAAAAGGACAGAAATTTATAGTGTAATTGTGCTAATAGGGAATATACATAACTAGATATTATATATAAGTAAAACAAAAGGTTTAGAACAGTTTCTGACATATTGCCAATTCTGTATAAATATATTCAATCATTTTATTGTTATTTTAAAAAACTTATTTGGATTGAGAAGATACATTGTCAAGTGCTAATACCTGAAACCACTTCCTGGGTGTTCTCCTGTTTTCTTTTTATTTTCTTTTTATTTTTTGACAACTGTGGCTTCTGTCTCCCTTTTGAGCTAATCATGCTTACCCTGATCTTACTTGACTGGTGATTTCCTTGTTTTATTTTTTTAATCTCTGTGTTGAAAAGGCCTGGTACTGAACTGGTGAGAAGTAGTATTAGCACCTCATATTATGCGGCAGTTTTGTCCCACGGGAAAAAAGTACTGGTTCAATAAGAAGAAGCAGTGCTGGGAGGTGAGACAGTTGAGAACAGTGACTTTTGTGAGGAGGAGAAACACTTCCCTCTTCCATGCTAAGTGTGGATGAAGTTCTAGTGTAAGCTTTTGAACCAAATAATCCTTCTCTTTTCCATTTCCCCATGAACTCTTTGGTCTAAAAACTAGCATCATACAGACAAGCATGCCAGTGAAATGTCTCCCCAAGATAGGCTTCCAGGGGACTCTAACAATAGAACTACAAGCATTAAATGAAAATGCCATATGAAAAACTAGTACTGTAGAAGCTTTTTAAGATATCTGTATATACGTATGTAAATGTTTAAGTGGAGTTACTCTAAAATAGGGGAGGCAATGCCTCAGTAATTGGAACCTCATTTTATGCTGATGTTCAGTGAGGTACAGATGACTGACATTGATCTTGGCTGTCCTCCAGAACTTGATAGAAAGATATTATTGCTATAGATACCACATACTCAAGGCATAGGTTTCAGATAAGTCAGTACTCATCTGGAAGCTTCTTCCCTATTGGCTAACTTTCATAGTGCTAGAAGGTTCTATCCATGCTACTGAAAGAGAAAAGTATTGGCTACTCTTACCCAGGTGTGAACTCTGTGAGGCATAGTAATGACTGACCTTGCAAGGTACACTTACTCAACAGTGGCAGGAATGTTAAGGGGACAACCAACATCTTTTAGATTGGGTTTAAAGTATCTTCATGCCTGGTAGTGTTAATTGGGCCCCCAATACTCAGTTGGCTAAGTTATAAGCATCAGGGAAGAACATAATACACTTATTGTGCTAAAGGGACATAGTATTAAACTTTCACCAAAGTTTTTGTGTTTATACACATAGTACAGTGCATCTCTCAAGTGTCATCAGAGAAGCTTCTTTTTGCAGTAGGTGACAATTAATGCAGACACGCACAACTGGGCAATGTTCAGAGACTAAGAGATTAGGGATTACTCAGCTCTGAATGTGACTTCTATACCATACCCCTCACACCAAGTCTGAAGGATATTGTGGAAGAGGGGTGGTATTATTGTAAGCCAAAAGGAGTGGGTGTCTATTTGTTGGACATGATAAGGTCATT